AAAAAAAAAAAAAAAAAAAGGCAAGAATAAATTCCCAGAGCCAAAAAAGACAAAACACTTGCTTTTACTTTCCTTCTCCCTTTGTGGTTTGGTCTGGGGTCTTTTTTTGGTGGTGTATTTCAAAGTGCACCCTGATAAAGGCAACATGGGGGGCTGAGGAGATGGCTTAGTAGAATAACCGCTTGCCTGGCAAGCTCAAGGGCCTGAGTTCAATCCCCGGTTCCACACACACAAAAGGTCTCAAGATGCCAGGGAAACATGGCTCCCAATTTTGCTCAAAGCTGGACAGTGATTTTTTTTTTTTTTTTCTCCAAAATACCTGGTTCTAGGGCTGGGGCCATGGTTCAGTAGAATAAACGCTTGCCTGGCAAACACATGGGCCTGAGTTCAATTCCTGGTTCCACCAAAACAACAACAACAACAACAACAAACCTGGTTCTGATTTATGCCTAATCTTGGACCTACTGGGACAACAGTCACATTAACTTGTGAACTCCTATGAGGAAAGAGGTTAATTTCGTAGAAGCATGTAGAACACCTCCCACCCCCAAAGGCTAGTAGTTGGCAAGGTGGAAAAACAAATGCCAAGTTTACAGCCAGAGAAGCTGGTTCCCAGTAATTCCGGACCACCTCTGGCCCTGCTTTCCTCACTGTGCAGGAGGTTGATGAAAGTAGCAACTACCTCACAGGTTGGTGTGGGGATTGGTGAGATAACGTCTGGGAATGCACTCTGCAGCCCTGGACAAGTGCTGGTATTATATTGTTAACAATCTCTTACATTTTATTAAGCACATTATATTATACCCTCTACGTAGGCCAATGGGAAGGCAGAGGAGGCAAAGTAATTATTCCCGGTGCACTGATGAAGAAACCAAAGCACAAATGATTTGGTCAAGGTCACAGGACTCCTTAAGGTCAGCCAAGTCCAAGTTGAACAACACAATGTAAGTACGCGACCCAGCCCCGCCCACTTCCTGACAGTCAAATGGAACTAGCTCTCTTAAGTCAAAATATTTTAAAGTCCTTTCCCATCCACCCAACCCGAGACAGCAGCAGTGGCCTCCCACGACTACCAGACGTGACCTAGGGACGCAGGGACAGCGGGAAGGGTTTCCGGGCTCAAGGCTCCTCCTTCTGGCGGCCACAGTAGGAAAGCGCCGGCAGCAACGGGTCTCCGAGGCCTGGCAGTGGAAATCCCCCATTCATCAGGAACTGGTGGGAACCTCCCCTCGGAGGCGCAGGCTTGCTGGTGTGGAGTGGCGTATTGGGGCTGGTGGGGGCACTACACCTGCTGTGCCTTCTCCTGTCCATACCTGTGCCTTCAACAGCCCACCTGCCGGGGTCCTTCCTACTCCGTGCTGTTCAAGGCCTCCTGCCTCCCCCCACTTGGGGTTATTTGACCCAGCCCAGTCCGTGAATAGCACCCTTGTCTGGCACTTCCCCCCTTTTTTCTTCTAGGCCTGGTCCCCAAGCAACTCATTCCAGGGCTCCTTTATTTTTGGAACTAAAAAACAACACAAGCCAGCATTTGCTGAGGACAGCGCAGGGCTACCCCGTGCCCTGCACTCCCGCAAGGAGAGGAAGCCCGGAGGAGGCAGGAACCAGAAACGACTCCCCACCCACCCACCCCGCGAGCCTTTCTTCCCCTCCCTGTTCCCCGCCCCTCCAGGAAGAAAGCAGTCAGATCCGATCGCTCACTGCAGCCTCTGTGCCAGCACCAACCGCTACACTCGCCCTCTCTTTCCTTCCACCCTATTTCGCGGAGCGCCCGCCTGCCCGCGCGCCCCAGGCAGGGCAGGTTCTGGCGCGAGGCACAGGCTCGGCTCCCCGGGGCTTCTACGTGAATCGCGTTGTTCCTGGGATTTCACGGTCGAGTGGCTCTTGCGTAACCCTACGCTCTGGCCTAAATGAATACTTTTTTTTTTTTTAATGCTAGTCTTAATCCTTTAGGGAAAGGCAAATACTTCCGGCCACGGATCCGGTCGCCCTGGGAGTAAATGGGTAAAGCACCTATAGTCTAGGCTCCCTTCTCACCCTTCATGATCCTTTTGTGCACTTTCAGCGAGGCCCAGGACTCAGGCTGTGCTCCCAGGGTTCCTGGCACGCCACGCGGGGAAGGGGGCCTTAGAAAGGCCGGAGGAGAGCCCAACCCAGACGTTTGTTTTCTTCTACTGTGAGGCTCTCTCGGGCCAAAGAACCGGGTCCTGCTTACTGTAGGACTGAGTGTTACCAAAAAAGGCCTTTTTTCTCTCCGGAGCGCTTGGCGGCGGCACGCGTTGCAGCGGGGTGACGAGAGAGGCGCAGCCTTGGCCTCCTGAGCCAGCTGGCTGCAGCAGTGCCAGACCGAGAACCCACATCCCTGCGCTCTCTTTGCCCCCGACGTTGGCAACGCAGGGGGAGCCAGGAGGGAAATTGCAGGGAGAATCCAAGGGCTTAGGCTCTTCACAAGCTGCTCAATGCTGTCAGCCTATGATGCTCAGGAAAGGCCAAATGGATAGCTGACCTTTTGCTTCAGTTTGGAGAGGCATTGTTTAAGAGTGGTAGTTCTCAGATGGCAAAACTGGGGAATTAGCTACAGAGGGAAAGAACTCTGAGGAGAAAGCTCCGGCGTTTCCTCCCTGCAGTCCTTCCGACCCCGGTACCTGTGCACCTGGTGTCTTAGATGGCGCTTCCCCACCCCCTCTGCCCAGGCTCAGGTGCTGTCCACAGAGGTCATAGTGTTGTGGCGTGAGAAGAGGGAGGGGGAAAATTCATTTCCAAAACACTGGAGTTACTGTCTCTCACAATATTGGTCACATCTCTTCTCAGGTCCATCTCAGACAAGCAGTTAAGAAGCAATTTATCACCATCAATCCCGGTGATTCTGGGGGGAGGGGTTACTGAGAGAGCTGTGCTTTTTAAATGATTAAGACTGTAATGGAAGTCTGTTTAAATGCACGCAGATTCCTAACTCAGTATGTCTGAAGACACCCCGGCATGTGTATGTGCGTGTGTGTATATATATCTCCTTTAGTAACAGTGAAGACAGAGACAGACAGGGAGATGGAGACATATGTGTGTGCATACCAAACATAACACTATGACACAGAATCCAACTTGCTTTCTCTAGCTGCCTGGCTGGAGGATTGAGGCTAAGTTGCTAGTTCTCCACTATTTCTGGTTTAATAAAGGGAAGGGCTGAATAAATGATGTAAAGAAAGGGGTCAACCAGCCAAAACGAAGCTAAGGAGCCTCTGGCTGGTGGGAAAGTGAAGCCACCTCCAGACCTGTTTTGGCTCACTCCAGGGGAGCTGTGGTGTAGGTCGGCTCCCCGCATAGGAGGGGAAGTATGTTATTGCTCTGGAGTGCACAGTGAGCTCACTGTTTTACAAAAACAGAAATCTGGCTGCTCTGAGATTAAAGAGGGGCTCCCTAAGGACTCCCCCCACCACTTTCCCTATCCTCAGAAACTCAAAAGGTGTGCAGGATTAGGGTGCTGGATAGTACTGGATATGGAAATAGCTCTAGAGATGGAATGTCAGAATAAACTTGTTCGTTCTTTTTAAGACAGGGTCGGGGCTGGGGAGATGGCTCAGTGGAATAAGCGCTTCCGTGACAAGCACAAGGGCCTAAATTCAATACCTAGTTCTGCACACACACAAAAAAAAAGACAGGGTCACTCTGCAGTTCAGGCTGAGTTTCAACTCACTTTGTAGCCCAGGCTTGTCTCCGACTCCTGCCTCAACCTCCCAAATGCTAAATACAGGCATGCGCCACATCTGGCAAGTAAACAATTTTTGTTGCTTCAACTGAACTTTATTACAGTAGTAGTAATAGCAATAAAAAGGGTCAGGGACATAGTGCAGTGGCAAAGTGCCTGCCTGGCAAGCACAAGGTTATGAGTTCAATTCCTGGTGCCCCCAAAAAATTCTAAACAAACCCAAAATAATAAGAATAATGATTCCTGTGTCCTATGAAGTTTTACCAAGTACTTATATATTAGCCATCAACAGTATCAATACTAATATCAATACTAATAATAACCAACCCTAAGTGGCAGTTTCCTGTATCAACACTATACACACAGTATAGTATATTTATGTTATAGTCTTCAATATACAGATTCACAACTTCTGCATAGGAAAACTTCAGTGACTCAGTCTAGAGGGGGAGGCTGTGGGTTGGTTATGAAGATGCATTTGCCTGGTACTTTGCATATAAGACTGTCTGAGCTCCCCAAACCACATCTAGGAGGCAAAAGCCACCTCTCTGGGGCCAGGAAGATAGCTCAGGGGACTAAGCGCCTGCCTGCCTGGCAAGTACAAGGTCCCAAATCCAATCCATGGTAAAAAAAAAAAAAAAAAAGAATTTTTAAAAGCCACCTCTCAAATCAGATTTACTGGACTCAGGTCCAAGCTCCCGCTTCAATGGCTTTGGGCAAGTTATTTCACCTGTTTACTTTACTACTTTATAAAATTGAGTTAACAGGGCACAAGATCCTGAGTTTAGTCCCAGGTACAACAACAACAAAAAATTGAGTTAACAGATTACCTTGTAGCTAATAATAGTTTAATAACATAGATAATACACCTTCAATAATGTAGATATTGGGAGTGGTGCAAATAAAACACTTTGTAGTGGGTTTCCCCCCCCCCCCAACCGAGGATTGAACTCAGGCCCTTAAGCTTGGCAGGCAAGTGCTGATTCTACTGAGCCATCTCCCCAGCCCCACCTTGTAGTGTTTTGTGTACTGATTTTTCATTTTGACAAGGATCAAACTGAAATCTGAAACCTTAATAAGTTAAGAAGGCTGGGGAATGTAATATTCTCTGTCATGATCCTTTACTTCACAAGGTTCTGAGGTCTGTATTATTAAGTTACTTTTTTTTTTTGCTAATTTAGTTTAAAGTATTGTTTAACTGCTTTAAATTTATGAATATTGTAAACTACAGAGAAAAGGAAATGTGTTTTCGCAGGACCTGTGTTGTGAACTAAATTAAGCCTACATTTTTGTGACCTCTTTGTGACCCATTGATGATGAATATATGTAACAAGTATGTTTATATGTGTGTGTGTGTGGTTTTTTAAAAGTCACATTTAGTGCATTTGTGGTGAAGAAAATGAAGACAACATCAAGGCCCCGCTTTTGGTACCACCTAATGAGATCTTGTTTCTCTGATCCAGTCATTTCAATAATTAGACTATCACTTAGGAACCTGCCCAAGTTTCTAGATGAGTAGAAGGAACAAATAAAGTGAACAGAAAATGAAATGCTTTAAGCACTATTGTAGGGATATTCTTTGAAAACACTTGGAGAAATGAGGTTTACATTCTCTAGGCATTTATGTATTAAGAAAGTGCTTTGAGCCCTTTGCCTCCAGACTTCATTGGGGCCAGCAGCCACCCGACCAAGGGCCCGACTATCCTGGGCTCTGTGTCCAACCAGCAGTTTGCAGGTGGCTGCACCAAGGCAGCGGAGAAGGCGCCCGAGGCGGCGCCAGCAGATGCAGCCTGGGTGGCGGACGAGCCGCAGCTGCTGCACGGTGCTGGCATCTGTAAGTGGTTCAACATGCGCATAGGGTTCGGCTTCCTGTCCATGACCGCCCACGCTGGGGTCTCGCTCGACCCCCTCTTGGAAGTCTTTGTGCACCAAAGTAAGCTGCACATGGTGGGATCCGGAGCTTGAACGAGGGTGAGGCTGTGGAGTTCACCTTTAAAAAGTCTGCCAAGGGCTTAGAATCCACCCGAGTCACCGGTCCTGGTGGGGTGTTCTGTATTGGGAGTGAGAGGCGGCCCAAGGGGAAGAACATGCAGAAGCGCAGATCCAAAGGA